ATTATTCATAAGAATTTCATGATTATTGGAGAGTTATTCAGAGTCTGAATACTAATACAATAAAGTTGATTTAAGCACTGAAAAAAAATTACAACTGAAATATGTACATTATCTTTAAAGGTGTTTTTTTTTTTTCAATATATATGCCAAATACATACAACAGTTCTATTTCTTTGGGCCTAGGATGCAAGTATGATTTAACTGTGCACTAACTGCTTTATGTAACAAAAGGATTTATCTACTGCGAAAGACATTAAATTGCCATCAAATCAGAATTTCACTTTCAGTCAGAAATGCAGTCAATTATGCCACAAGGAATCTTATTCACACAGCTTTTCCCTCAGATATATTCTCAGTGCAGTATTGTGAAGGGTGGCAATGATACTATTATCTCTAATAAAGTAAAAAATTATTTTTTTAAAGATAACAGTGATAATGTATACTAACTTTGGCAGTTTTCTTGCCATAACTCAAAACAAAGGCATTTATTAAAATTAGTTGATTTGATAATTATTAAATTTTAATCAATGCATTAAGAAATAGGCAGCTAGTGATCTACTGTGTAAGTTGCTCTTTCCTTAATGAATTTTTCAGACCACTTACGAGTCAGTTCCAGATAAAGACCTGGTTTATGAGGGCGGTAATCTAGGTACACTGTATTACTGGTTCTTTTGGGAACAGCTTTTTCAATCTGAGTTCCTTCATGCCACTCATTAAAAGAGGTGATAGAAATTAAACTGGGGTGGGCCTGAAGTGCAGAACTAAGAGCAATTTCATAATACTTCCCATTGATTCGGTTCCGAGTGTTTTGAGTATTCCATGGACGGATGCTGGTATCTATGTATCCTGGGCCCACACTTGGGATAAATAATAAGTTGTGCTTATCACAAAAGAATTTTAGGCTAGCCCAATTCTGATGGGACGAGCCATAAGTAAAGCCATTTGTGGCAAAATATGTGTAAATTCCATCAAAACCACTTTGAAGAATATCATATTTATGTTTTTCTTCTACTAGAAGTGCAATAAACAGTCCATCATAAGGCGAATTGCGAATACTCTGAGACCCTGAGGTGGTTAACAGATTGGCCCATTTTTCAGGCTTGGTGATATAAGAATCATAGACATAAAACACAGGAAGAGCATTGCCGGTCCTTGTCGTGTACCTGTAAAAGGCTGGATGATTTCCATATCTGAAACACAAGCATATGTAAAAGTGAAATGAATATTCACAACTCATTTGCCATAGACAAAAACTGTTTGTTTATGTATTGAAAATGAAGGAATCAGTGTGGTTTAAGCACATTGCTCCATTTCTTCAGGTAATCCATTATATAATTAAAAATGCATTTTTAATTTTACACATTAGAAAATTAG